TATTTCCAAAAACAGTGTCATATTAAGATAAGAATTTCCAAACAGTGTTTGTGCTGCAATCATACAGGAACATCAATATTTCATATAGTGTATAAAGATACTAGTGTTTTCTTCAATATATATATTCTTGTGTGCACAGTGAAGTGTTAATGCCTGAAGTTGCAATATCTTACACAGTTAATATCTAACACTATCTTCTTTGTCGTCGTCAATATACTGCATGATATAGGCTGACCACTGCTCAAAAGGAAGAGCATTTAAGCCAATCACTCGTTTCAATAATTGTTGGATATTTACAGAAAGGGAAGACTCAACCACACTGCAGAACAGCAAACCAACACTTTCAACTATTGCAGGCTCTTCACCACTGTAGTTATGCCACAATTCACACACCATAATGAGGTACTGGCTTTCTGTATCCCCCGCCTGTGGAGGACAGCGCGGACAACTTGACACTCTGGGCTCGTAGTGGATACTTCATCCTGACCACAGGCCAGAAGTCATGTATTACAGTGTGAAGTGAGACTGAGTCACCGTCTCCATCTGTGTTTGCCAAGGCTTCAACTCCCTGTAACATACTGAGTGTAGCTGCACTGGTCTAGTTCTAGTTCAGGGATCGCCACGCTTCATACAGATGTTTTTAGAAAGTTTTATTTCCCTCTCTGCTCCTCAGACACCGTGAAAACTACAAACAAAGTAACAATAAACCATCTTAAATATACAAATAGAGGCAAATGAACAACAAGCACAAATACAATATATACACATTTTACCGTTTGCGCCTCTAGAACCATGTGCAGATAACTTTGGGCTGTATGTCTCTTCTCTGTCCATGTTGTCTCTTCTCTGTCCCATAATGCCACATTTGGCGCCCCTCACTCAACTCCAGTCACATGGTTGGCACATACTGCCCTTCAAAATAAACCTCTTTACCAACAAAAGTAATACTCTCACCATTAACAATGAACATAAACCCACATCTCAAATGAAACCTGTCATTTGGACAGTTACACTGAGAGAACTACAGGCTGTGAATATGCATCTGAAATCACCCAGAGCTGGCACGCAGCCGGCGCATGCGCTCAGGAATGACTTAATCCACGGGGCTCCGCCCTGCTCCAGCAGCGGAAGCTGACTTTTAATAAGTGACGTGTCTTGAAGAGTGAAAGGCGTGTACGTCATTGAAATTCCACCCTGCGCTGTCTCCGCCTGGAGAGGAAGTATAGGGCTTATCATCCTCACTACTAACCTCACTTAAAGATCCACTCTCAGTCATAGTCGGCACAGCCACGTGACAGACATGCTTTTTCTTCCCTCTGTTATGATCAGTACCACAACCAAAACTATGAGTTTTCACTGAAAGACCACACGCTTTTTGCAACTTTTTCACAGGATCTGTAACTATGGAAGTACTATCTTGGCCAGAAGCGCAAGCTTCATTACTTACAGCAGCAGTCTGTGCAACAGACCCCGCTTTAACACCGTCCAAGAACTGTTGAGCGCTATGCTAGTCTTTTTCTCCACCGGGAAAAGCAGCTGTCTGTAATATTCCCCCATGTACGACAACTAATGGTGAAACATTTTGATTACTCACGGCAGGGGTAACTAAATCACGGCACTGATTCACCATCCCTCAAAATGAGACTATGTGCTTATTAACTCCTACATGTGTCAGGGAACAAATCAGCACATCTTTCAAAAACAAATGTGTTTTATTATTCTTACTGTTTTGAATCCAATTTAAAGCGTCAAGAGTGGGCAGTCCACACATCAACTTTAATTTAGTATAAGTTCAATGTGGAGGTTTTATGTATAAACAAAGGTCCTGCCTTACCTCAGTTTGTGGTCGACCCAGTTTGATGTGTGGCACCGCAGCACAGCTCGACAAGAACCAGGAAGTTGCTCTCAGCCTAATCAGGATCGAATGTCGGATTCACAGCTCAGCCAGGCACAGGACTATGGCACCTACTGCTGGTCCGGGACAATGGACCGGTTGTCTTGACCACTTGTTGTATCCAGTACTTTTAACCATGCTAACTCTGAGAGACGAAGCAGTCCAAGTAACTTCAAAACAGTGCTGAAAAAATACCTAACACTAACATACTATAATCTGTAGTGTCACTAAAAATCATTTTATCGGTCATAAGATCTCCACTGCTATTTACACTATTGCTGAAACTGTAATAGTGCCAAGAAAAAGCACTGTATTTTGGTTAAATTTTAAGGTTTCTTCCTGCCGCTATCATGGCCTTGTAAGTCATACAGTGCCTTTCTGTTTCCACTGGTTTCCAGTGAGTTGCAGAGTGTGTATGCAGGAGTGTGTGTGCATATCAGCTCTAAAGCGGAGCACCTCTATCACGGAACACCTGTGACACCTGTGTCACTCTGTCTTCTGCTGTACTATGTGTGTCAAATATGCAACACTGAATGTGATGCAATATTGGCTGGAACATTAATACTGTATCAATATTACTGGGGAAATGCATTCCTTAGAGGATGTGAAGTTGTTGTCACACCATGTTGAATTTTGGTTAAATGAGCCATTTTGGAAGCTCACGCTCATTGTCATATATACTACATGCATCTTACAGTATAAGTTAATTTAAATAAGTAAAGACTATCCCATACAGCTACATACAGTAGCGAATACTTCAACTACACCCAAATGTCCACTTTAGTGTTCAGTTTGAGCACAGACAGGCCAGCAACTGATTCATCTGCAGTGTTTGTGTTAACTGCCAACAGCTCCTAGCTAGCATTAGCTCCTGAACTGAGAGCTGAAATCCGGGTGCAGTCATTCTTCAGTCTGTTGTAAATAACCCCCATGCAACTCGATGTGCGATGTGTGTAGCAGTGGTCCAATGTGATTTTGTCTCTGGTGGGACAGATAACGTGCTGTCTGTATTTGGGCAGTTTGTGGGCAGTTTTGAACTGATTGCAATTTCCGGCTTCAATTCAGCTAAGGGCTCTCTGTCGTCTATTCTCATGTCCTGCTGTCTCTATTGCAGGATGCTGTTTGTAGGAGCCAGGGAGGGCCACTGGCCACCAATCTTTTCCATGATTCACATTCACAGACATACACCTTTGCCTGCTGTGCTGTTACTGGTAAAGTACATCCCTCACACTGTAAAGCAATAGTATAAGGAAATCCAGCAATTTCTCATTTTCTGATCACTGTGCCTTACTATCCTCTATGTCACAATGGTGGTATGTCACTACAGCTGTATTGTCTGTGTCTCCAGTACCCTTTGACTGTGTTGATTGTGATCGTTGGAGAGATCTACCAGCTCATCAACGCTGTGGCCTTTGCTCGCTGGTCTTTCATGGCCTTGGCAACCTTGGGGATGCTCATCCATCGGTGTCACTTCCCCCTCCACCCAAGACCTTTCAAAGTTACCCTTGAGTAGTTATAGCGCTCAACTGCAAAGCATTTCTTATCCATCTGCACACTAGCCTGACAAAATGTTATTTGCTTTGTCTAATAACCCAAAGGTGCCTGTGGCCATCTTCAGTACATCATACTGAGATCTGCCAACTTGTGTTTGAGACATTTTTGGCTCAAACGTTTTGCCAAACAGCCATTTAATGTGGGAAATTTCCATTTTGGTGGAAGAATATTCATCTCTATTTTCAATATTTGTAAAAGAAACTAAACTTTCCTGGAGCTTAAAATTGAATGATTTAATATGCCTGCTCGTTTTGGATCAAAGCTGACATATTCATGTGGAGCTTAATGAGTGAAATTCATCTGCTTTTAGAGAATGGGTAATTTTGTTTATCACAAAGAACAAATTTGCTTTTTACACTATATTAATGGAGGACAAAGACCCTGTTAGACCTGGGTTTGCGTTTTACTTTTTCCAGTTAAAGATAAAATACATAGACCTGTGACGTGTAAGCATAATCCAGGTCTGTCTGCCATGCTTATACTGCGGGCACATCATCAGCTCAAGTTTTGTAGTGCTGTATAGTTAATCAGTAAAACAGTAAATAGAAGAATAAATTGTTCTGTGATTAACACACTGAAATGATGGGCTGACTTCAGTCAATATATTCATATCCCAAATATAAACTGAAATCCATGCTTTTAATATGCATGTAAACAAGGTTGTTGCACACTGTCAAACCTCACAAACATTCATCAGAACTAAAGGACTGAAAGAAATGAAGTCCTTTAATTTTCTTTAATTAGAGGTCACCTTGACTTTCACTAAGATGTTTGCCCTGGTGCTCATCATCATCCCTGGTGTCATTGCTTTGAGCAAAGGTGGGACGATGATGCTAGTCCTGCGGATACAGGTGGAGTTAATCTAGGACACCCTGACAAATGGCTGGTGATTGTGTTAAACTATTCACAAGGTAGGGCATTCGTCTCCTGACCAGCAAGTTGGTGGTTCGACTCCTGGCCTCCCCGCATGCCTAAGTGTCCCTGAGCAAGACACTGAACCCCGCATTGCTCCCGGTGGCTTGATTAGCGCCGCTGTGTGGCAGCCTGTCGTCATCGGTGTGTGAATGGCTGAATGGTGTATCATCTCCTGTAAAGCGCTTTGGCTAGTGCAACACACTGTGGGAATATGCGCTATATAAATACAGTCCAAAGACAGAGAATTTCCAGAAAGGCTTTGAAATTGAATCATTAACTCTGGATAAGTTGCCACTGGCCTTTTATAATGGTCTATATGCCTACAGTGGATGGTAAGCAAGCCAACTGTGGTGTTATAGACAACAATAAATTCAATTGGAAAAGTTATCAACATACATACTAACATTCATTGAGACATGATACTGATAAATACACAAACAATCATAAGTCTGTGCCTTTGTCTCCTGAACATTCTCCTTTTACCTCAGGAATAATCTGAACTATGTCACGGAAGAAGTCATAAACCCAAATAGGTATTTTGCATCTGACATCTCTAGTTAATTTATAAAAGCTGTCTTGCTTTGGTAATATAATTATACCTCTCTGTTTGTATCCTGTCTTGTCAAAAACATCCCACTAGCAATAATCTGGTCCATGGTGACAGTGACAGTTTTTTATGTGCTTGTTAATGTGGCCTACTACACCATGATATCTCCTGCTGAGCTGCTGCTGTCTGATGCCGTGGCTGTGGTCAGTGCTACACTGTACAGCATTCTGAAATCAAAAGACCTGATCAGAGGGCATAAATAAGGAACAGTATGTTGGGGTGTTGGTTTGAGGTCTGTCTCTCTACAGACATTTGCCAGCCGCACGCTCCACGGACTAGTTGCTGTGATTCCCGTTCTCGTGGCTCTATCCTGCCTTGGGACGCATAATGCTGGCTTCTTTGGAGTACCCAGGTAATGTATTTGACATAAATGCTTCAATTCAACTAAGGGCTCTCTCTGGTCCATTCTCAAATCCGCTGTGCTGTTACTGGTAAAGTACATCCCTCACACTGTAAAGCAATAGTATAAGGAAATCCAGCAATTTCTCATTTTCTAATCACTGTGCTTTACTATCCTTTATGTCATTGTATAAAGAAGTTACAACAGACTGTCTGGAAGGGTTTGAGTCGAGCCAAGGTCCGGAGGAAAACAGTCCGTGAAGGGTGAATAGGAGCTGGCTAGAAGAGGTGAAACACACGGTAGTCCCTGGCATACAAGACGGAAAACTGGACACACAAAAATTACCAGAACGAATAATAACCACAAAGGAGACAAAGACGGCCTGAGAACGTGAACGAACTGGCAAGGGAGTGTTAGGTGAGCCAGGTATAAGTAAAGGACGAACTAATGAAGTGCAGCTGGTGATAACCAAGGGGTGAGGAGCAGGTGTACATGATGAGCAATCAAGGGCTAGAAGAGAGAGACAGAGTGAGGGAGGTGAGACAGGCAAGTATAGCCGGGCAAACCTGACATAAATGAAAAAAAGCCAATTTATACCTCAAAAGCCTGCCTAAAGAAAAAGGTTTTTAAAGCCGACTTAAAAACCGCTAGTTCCAACGTCAATCGCACCTCTAAAGGAAGGGAATTCCAGAGTCTGGAGCCAAATGTAGCAAAGGATCGGTCACCCCATTTTTTGTACCGCGATTGCGGGACAACCAAAGACAAATGTTCTGAAGAGTGCAGGGCTCTTCGTGGCACGTAAATTGATAGCTTGTCAGACAAATAAGGCAGAGCCATGCCATGGATGGCCTTAAAAACGAATACCAGAGTTTTAAACTTAACTCTGTACTCAATGGGAAGCCAATGAAGGGAGCGGAGAATCGAGGTAATGTGGGCAAACCTCTGCGCATTGACTAGAAGCCAGGCTGCTGAATTTTGAACTAATTGCAATTTCCGGCTTCAATTCAACTAAGGGCTCTCTGTGGTCTATTCTCAAGTCCTACTGTCTCTATTGCAGGATGCTGTTTGTAGGAGCCAGGGAGGGCCACTGGCCACCAATCTTTTCCATGATTCACATTCACAGACATACACCTTTGCCTGCTGTGCTGTTACTAGCAGATCAGAGGGCATAAATAAGGAACAGTATGTTGGTCTGATTCAGTGTCTGTGTCTCTACAGATGTTTGCAGGCCGCACGCTGCACGGACTGGCTGCTGTGATTCCCATTCTTGTGGCTCTATCCTGCCTTGGAACACTTAATGGTGGCTTCTTTGGAGTATCCAGGTAATGTATTTTACATAAATGTTTCAGTTCAACTAAGGGCTCTGTCAGGTCCATTCTCAAGTCCTACTGTCTCTATTGCAGGATGCTGTTTGTAGGAGCCAGGGAGGGCCACTGGCCACCAATCTTTTCCATGATTCACATTCACAGACATACACCTTTGCCTGCTGTGCTGTTACTGGTAAAGTACATCCCTCACACTGTAAAGCAATAGTATAAGGAAATCCAGCAATTTCTCATTTTCTGATCACTGTGCTTTACTATCCTCTATGTCACAGATACAACAGACTTGGATTGAATGGTGGTATGTCACTACAGCTGTATTGTCTGTGTCTCCAGTACCCTTTGACTGTGTTGATTGTGATCGTTGGAGAGATCTACCAGCTCATCAATGTTGTCTCCTTTGCTAGCTGGTTTTTCATGGCCTTAGCAACCTTGGGGATGGTCATCCATTGGTACCGCTTCCCCCTCCACCCAAGACCTTTCAAAGTTAGCCTGCCAGTAGTTATAGCACTCACCTGCAAAGCATTTCTTATCCATCTGCACACTAGCCTGACCAAATGTTATTTGCTTTGTCTAATAACCCAAAGGTGCCCGTGGCCATCACATTCATCTTCACAGTGGTTTGCTTCTTCATTGTGGGTATGTCTCTGTATTCAGACCCCTGGAACACAGGGATAAGCTGTGCTCTCACACTGACTGGAGTCCCAGTTTATTATTTGACTGTCCACCACTTCCACCTGCCCCACAGATGGCGACACATCTTCAGTAAGTCATACTGAGATCTGCCAACTTGTGTTTGGTGAAAAGTTTGAACAGAAAATGTCTCAACAAACAACAAATTAGCTTTTCGCATTAGATTAACAGAGGACAAAGAACATGTTAGTCCTGGGTTTGTGTTTTACTTTTTCCAGTTAAAGACAAAACACATAGACCTGCAGTAAAAGCAGAAATCTTACAGAAAGTGTTCTCTAAATGTAGAATGTTGGTAAATATTACACAGCAGGGCAAGTAAAATGTAGGTTTCACATGGCCACACTTCTTATTAAACCCTACTGTGGACTTTTTACCCTAGCTTTGTGAAATAAATCACTTTGTTAACCAGTTCTCTGACATATTAATTATTTTAATCTGAAAGTGTTCTCCAAATGGTGGTAAATATTACACAGCAGGGAAAGGAAAATGTACGTTTCACATGCCCACACGTCTTTTTAACTCCTACTGTGGACTTTTTACCCTATGCTTATGAATTAAATCACTTTGTAAACCAGGTCTCTGACATATGAATTATTTTAACCCTAGAGCTGAGGGTTTGGGATCAACCAGGGAAAATAATTCTGATTCTCTTCCCCTTTCCCAGACTACAGCAGCTTACAGCTGCAGCTCCTTCTAGAAGTGGTTCAACAGGAAGTCCAGACATACTGAACACCCCAAAGACATCCTGCTTTCTGTTGACAAACTTCGTGGTTACCAACTGAAGAACTGCTAGAAGCTTCTTTGTTTGTACAGAAGTTTAAACCAGTATGTTTTAAGTGTCAGTTGTAATACATTAAGAATTTTAAGTTACATTTGCAAGAATGCAGCTGATGGGGAGTTGGCTGGGGAGCACGTGGAGGCTGCAGCTGAGGCTTAGACTGTAGTGGCTGGAGCTGCAGTAGTGGCTTAGACTGTTGGGGCTGGAGCTGCAGGGGTGGCTTAGACTGCTTGGGCTGGAGCTGCAGGTGTCAGGGCCGCTCGGCGGCCGCTGCCTCTCCCCCCTTTTTTTTTTTTTTTTTT